GGAACTAACCGTATTTGGTTTACGCTGGTGGGCTTCATTGACCAATGAAAAAACGGGTCCATTTAATGTCAGAATGGTGGATATGGATATCTAATGACATTCTTGCGTAAATGCTCCTAGCGAAGGCAGAGACTGACATGTGGGCTGGGCCCAGTTTCCTTCGATAGTACTAGTACTAGTAATTCATGATGCACGAGACGGCACTTTCAAAATCAAAGAGAGCTCAAAAGGCTTGGCAGAGGAAAAGCTCCCAGGTATTTGAGCTAACCACTTTGGGATTTAGCTTTGCGCGCAAAAGCTCCCAAGCTCTAAATTTTGACGGATATTTTGTGGGTGCTGCACTTCAGCAACACGGCCATGATGACAACAACAACACAGCAGTAACTCTACAACGCAGCATACCGTATACACTTGAGAATCTTCAGGAGAGAACATATACCTCGTATGGCATTCGCAGGAACTCCGCGGGGTCGTGGTGGTGGCGATCGAGGCCGGGGTCGCGGAGGGTTTGGAGGAACACCTCGAGGAGGCAGAGGGGGGAGCAGAGGTTAGTTGCCATCAAAAGATACACTTCAGGAGCGAATAGTCTGAAGGTTCATCGTCTATGAGGTAGGCTACGGCTGACCATCTGGAGGTGGCTTTGGTGGTGATCGAGGCGGCTCTGGCGATCGGGGTGGACGAGGGCGAGGACGAGGTGCACCCAGAGGTAGGGGCGCTCCAAGAGGCGGAAGGGGCGGCGCAAGACCTGGCATCAAAGGAGGAGCCAAAGTTGTGATTGTGAGTCATGCTCTCTGATATACCATTAACTTTCAACTGTCCAATTGAGCACAACATACAACACACAACATAATATCCAATTCACACCCGAAGCACAATGCCAGCACCGACTTTTTTGAGACGTCCGGCACGATCGCAGTCACCGAATGGGACTGCGTATCTCCTCGTGCGAGATCACCCACTTGTCTTCCCCAGCCAAATGCTTATTCATTTGCATCCAGGAACCTCATCGTCATCCTGGCGTCTTCGTCGCTCGTGGCGGTAAAGAGGATCTTCTAGTCACCAAGAACCTTACACCAGGTGAATCCGTCTACGGCGAGAAGCGCATTTCTGTCGACCTCCCCGCCACCCCTGGCCTCAATGGCAATGCCGATCCTGTCCCAAACACCAAGACCGAGTATCGAGTTTGGAATCCCTTCAGATCTAAGTTGGCAGCAGGTATATTGGGTGGTTTGGATGTCATCTACATACGACCAGGCGCAAAAGTCCTGTACCTTGGTGCGGCGTCAGGAACAAGCGTCAGCCATGTTGCGGATATCGTCGGACCTACTGGGACAGTCTATGCGGTGGAATTCTCGCATCGTAGCGGACGAGATCTGATTACTATGGCTACACATCGCACGAACGTCATTCCCATTATCGAGGACGCCAGACATCCATTGAGATATCGCATGTTGGTTGGCATGGTCGATGTCATCTTCGCAGATGTTGCTCAGCCAGATCAAGCACGAATCGTTGGATTGAACGCGCATCTGTTTTTAAAGGTGGGTGGTGGCGTCTTAGTCAGTATCAAAGCGAACTGCATCGACAGCACCGCTAAGCCAGAGGTTGTCTTTGCACGAGAAGTCACCAAGTTGAGGGAGGAGAGAATCAAGCCGAAGGAGCAATTGACACTGGGTGAGCAGAATACTTATCAGGCCAAACGGCACCCACTATTGACCTGCTGACTCCGTACGCAGAACCGTTCGAAAGAGATCACTGTATTGTTGCGGGCATCTACACACGATCTGAGTAAAGCAATCTCTCGTTGGGTAGGCGTTATTGTACAGTGTTGCAGAAACCGGAACGCGCAAGCACTTCCTCATGGGCACCTACCAAAACCTCCTTCCATGCAGGCCTACGAGGTGAGTGGGTGGGTACTTGCTTCCTGTTCGCGGCTCCTTAGTTAGCTTTAAGCAGAATTGAAAAAAAAGAATTTCAGCTACAATGCAAAGCGTCGTGCAACTGAAACGTCATTCATGAAGCTCTCCGTCTTTCTGGGGCCTTTCTTTCAGCTTCCTACACTGATGAGATACATTCCTCAGCTGCGACTAGGTTGCTGTGCCAACCTTCTAGGGATGTCTGGACATAATCTGAGCCTTGCACCACGGGACTCGTCTGCTAGCCACCAGCTGACATCTCAATAAGGCTTGATACGACCACACCCGGCAAATGCACTGGGACCGCAGCCAGCGGTAGACACCTAGCTGCAAATGCGGTCTTCTTCGTGATATCAGCTCATCCTTTACAATGTCAAAACCTGCATGCCTACTCCTGAACCTAGCCAGACCTTGTCATCAACAAACCCACCTCCACATGTTCTAATTCCCCTCAGTCCCAACTGAATGTCAGTTTTCCATCATAATATCTGAGACACCAAGCAGCTGCTCCGCCAAAAGCTGAAAAACAACACCAACCTATCCAGGATAAGCATGAGCATCGGCAACTCAGCGAACTCGCTTCTCGAGCGGGAAGTTCCTCCCCGACACCTTTTTCTTCACTGTGTATTTTCGATATTGCTTCCGCAGCTTATTTCCCCGGGGTTTTGCTGCAGATGAAGTGGATCAAGGTGGCATTTCCCGTTTGGTCGTGTTTTATGGCCATATCTACCCCCGCTGTGGTGAGTGGCTCAAAGGTTGCAAACTAAGCTTATATACGGAGTCTCTCTCTCTCTCTCCGTCTCTCTCTCTCTGTCTCTCTCTCTCTGTCTCTCTCTCTCTCTATCGTAGTGGCTGGAATGCGGTCATAGACTTCTCTTTTCGGGAGATTTCCATTTGCGGAGGGCAAATTAGTTGATGGAATTTCCGGTGTGCATTTCTTTCCACTACGTAGGGTAGGTCCTGAATGGCTATAAGGCCTTCCTCCCGGCCCTTGATGAGCGCTCGTCAAGAATGATTATAGTGCATGAAAAATAGTACTACAGATCTCTCTTTACCCCGGCCAAGGCAAGCAAAGTAATCGGCTACCATTCCTCTGGGATAGGGAACATCTCTGGTCGTGCTGTGCTGTGCTGTGCTGTCGAGCCGTCCTCATTTCGGTCCCGTCGACGGCATTGCTGATTTTCATCTAGTTAGTCCATAGTTATCACTTCTTACTACCCACTCACCCACTACCTCATTTACGGAGCAGCTGGCCGGTCCCGCTGATGCAGATCGCTCTGCTGCAGGGCGCACAATAGAACCTAGAACCTGATGAGGTTACGAGGATCAGGAGATACATATCCCGCCCTCGAAGAGTTGAGCAGTGCGGCATTAATTCATCCGGGATATAGGTGCAAGGGGGACTTGGGGAGGTGATAATTCAAAGCCAGGTACCGTCGGAGAAGCGACTGGATTAAAACAAACACTAGTATTCCCTAAGGCTCTCCTCTCTCTCTGATCCTCTTCCTCTCCTTGATTTGGGAGCTGGAAACTTCTGTTTTACTTACTGGCCAGATTGTAGGAATTTGGAGGTGAGCCAGTCTTTTAGGTAGGACACGAGATCACTTCTACACAGGAACGAAGGATAGATTGAACCGCCCCAGCGGGGTACCCGGGGAAGTAGAAACGATTGACTTGAGGAATAGAACCTCAAAAAGTAGTAGTAGTATCTTTTTCATCTGTCCGTTCAAGCAAAAGAGACGACCAAAATCCCTTGCCCTGTCTCACTCCAAGCGGCCACTTGACAGAACAGCATAGTTGATCCGCCACAGCGCCAACTACGTCCCCGTTCCGCAGCAGCCCCCACCCCCCCTTAACAATTGAAGACCATGGAGAAGCCCAGGGGCGGGACACCGTAGTTCCCGCCGGCGGACCCTGACGCTGCCCCCCCCCTGCTGCCAATCGCTGTGCTCGAACAGGAAACTCATCGTCTCACTACAAGTATTGCTCGCCAACACGGTGCTGGAACCGGGCCCACCGGCCTCGGTGGGGAAGCGTATCGTGGACACGAACTCCCTCCGCGCGGGCGGATTGTTCCACGTGGCCGTCCCCTGGCGGTCCGGCTCGACGCTCCACACGTCGGCTTGGACGGCCGGGCCGGGGGTCCAAGTTAGATATCAGTTCGGGTACTGCAGGGGTGGGAATTGGACGGAGAGCATGCAGCCGGTGGCGCCGGCGGGGATGTTGCTGAAGGTCACGACGGAGATGTATTCGTTTCTTGGCGGGGAGCCGGTGCGCACGATGTTGAAGATCAGCCCGTTGTGCGGGTTGTTCGGGTCGCCTCGTTGGAGGATGTTGATGTTGGATGGGGGGATGGTGGTGCAGGCGCGGGGGGCCAGCTCAACCGGATTGGGAGCCGCGTCCGCCGTGGGGAGGGCAGAGGCGGCGGTGAGGAGGCCCAGGGCGAGGCTGGTCAAGAGGGGTGTGGATAGATACATCTTTGGGTCTGGTGAATATGATCTTGACGCGCGTGGTCAGGGGAACTCAGTGATGAGGGCTGTGTGAGTAAGTGGAAGAAGTGGTCCGATATCAAAGATTCCGAGGGAAAGGGAGGAATGGACAACAAGAATAGAGGAGGGGGGAGAACACTCTTCTTCTACCACTTGCACGGAGAAGTACCTCCAGGCCAAAGGTTGTCATACAATCAAACTGGGGAAATTAGTAATTCCATCGAGGCTCTTTCAAATATAGACCTCTCTTTCCTAAAGCAGAGCTTCGGAGGCTCGTCCCCACACGAATACGAAGTGCTGACGAGCTACCTCTGCCAATAGGATGGGAGCAGATCAGATTCATCCTAGCCATATGACTGAATTTGGAGTAGAAGAACAGTAGAGAGTACGGTGCGACCCGCAATTCGAGTACGAGGTTGGTCATGAGAGCCACCAATTCGAGTCTCGAGTCGGACAAGAAATGCAACAACATGCCGTTACTTCTCATCACACACCAATCTCAGTACGCAACCGGAAGGCTGGGCATAAGCTGGAATGAATGACTGCTCACACCACCAGTTTTTGCCAGCCTCGCTGCCTCGGCGCGTATTGTTCATCTAGTAAATACGGCGACAACCGCAGGGAGGCCGATGTGTAAGTCAAGTCTCCGAGGCAATGCTGATGATAGAACTCCCAGAGGTGCAAACTCCACGAGAAATCGATCATCTGTCTGGCATAGAAAGTCGGTTTCTTCACGAGAGAACGATGTACTCGGTGAGTCCGTACTTGTGGCTTCAACGGTCCCGGGACGATGCGGATCTATTTTTGAAATTGGAACAGGCCGAGGTTTTGCCTATCCAATCAAAGATCAATCCTCCGTACATCCCTTGTTCTCATTACGTACTACGGTACGCTCGAGTGGGGGCCAAAGGATTATGATATGATCATGGATGAAGCACTCACGGGGTGTTAGAATGAATTGCGTTTTGACCAACATTCAACCATTTCTGCGCGGGGAGTCAGTGAGGGGTACATCAATTATGTCCTTTTGTTTTGGCGGAGTGGTCGATGTATCCCTTTTCCCAGGGAGCTTTTTGCTTGCTCGGCTCAATAAATATCGGATAAAACACAATGAATTCTGACACCCTCTGTGCACTCATCGCAATCTTTTGCTCTGTCATGTCCACAGAGGCTGTCACGTACTAGCACTACTTGGCAGTCGATAAATTTGCCCAGCGTCATACTCAACCCAATCAATCGATTTGCTCATAAATCATGATAGAGGTGGGTCGGCATATTACACTCCGTGCTTCCGATCACCTGCCCACTGTCCGGAGCGATATCCGTCCCTAACCATCTGGCTTCATAACCGCGGAGAGACATCGACTCCAAGAGCGAGATGGGGAGGGTAAGAAGGGGGAACGGAGGAAAGAGCACAGATCGAGTGCTGAACAAAGGGACAGGCATCAGATCCAGACAAGTATACTCGTAGGCGATCATCTGTGAATGTTCTGGAACATGCTTCTGAAGGAGTGTTTGAGCATAGTGAACAGTCCTGGTAGACGATTTTTGATACTGTATCCCTTGTTTGATACTACATATACTGAGACAAACCTGAACGTGTAGATTCTTTGCGTCTTGCTCATGGAGATTTATTTGGTGAAACCTCGTATTGAACTGCTATTTCACTCAATCAGAGCGTCGTTCATCACTACCTGTTTGGGGCTAGCAGGAGAGATAAATAAGGACTTCGGAGTGGGATTACAAGATATTGCGGCTCTACAGTAGCTTCATCGCCTGCATAAAAAATTGTGCTCATAATTCTATCTGATCGTATCCTTATTTCATGCTGCAGTACTCGTACACAAATCTTGACCTCTCTAAATTCCATTTTCACTTTGAGACGTAAGTGCACGTGGTTGTAACCTGAGTGATGAATGAGCAGTCCTGAGTCGTATCCCCTGTGTTACTGAATGGGCTTCTTTCCTTGTCAAGAAGAATCAATCAGGCAAGCAAGCAAGCAAGCTCCAACTTCGAACGGACCCAAAGCCATTTCTCGCCTGAGCCTCTGGAGGGTGTTGTGATCGCATTGCTTGGAGACGTGACCATTGAAATTCCAATGTTTCTTCCACGGCGGACAGTCACTTGAAAGTGCGCGAGACTTCCTTCCGAGCCTTTCGCAAAGCTCTAGCAATACAAGATCTGACTTTGAAGATCCGTAGCTTCAATTTATATTAGTTTTCCACCAATCAGGGCAGTTCTTGAACGGTTTGGCCTGGGAGCTCGAAGATCTCCCTGTTCTCCCTGTTGACACCGTCACTCTCTGACTTCAATGTGCTTCTGCTAATCCGCTCCGATGTTGGTGTCCTACCGCCTCTGTAGAGGTCTGGTGACCGACTCGTAGTTGTTATGGGCCTAGCCCTCCCTCTGTACAGTCGCACTTGACGTATCTCTCGTCCGTCAAGGAGGTGTCTGTTTGTGACCTGCCAATCGTCCTCCTTGCCAACATCTCCTGGTAGCTCTGCCGTGAGTTCTTCCGACTTGTTTTCAACAGCCCCCTGCTGGCTGCCACTGCGCTGGCTCCCGCTGTACTGGCTACCATGGCTATCCTGTAAAGCCCTCGATGCGCGTCGATGGCGATAGCGTCGATAAAAATATCCTGGTGCAATCACGCCGCCGATACTAAGAACAGCTCCGATAGTGATTCCCGCTATCATGCCATTGTTGGGCTTCGGGCTTGGCTGAGTTTCTCCATCCCCCTGATCTGCTCCCTCCGAGATATCCGTGCTATTTGTTCCAGGATAAACGGCGATAACGTTTCCAGGCTCAGCAGGGTCAGAAGGAAATAGTGTCTGCGAAATAGTGAAAATAGATCGCCCGTAGTCAACATGCAGGTAGGCTTCTTGTAGAAATGTACGGCCAAGAGTGTACTGCGAAGAATTGGAAGCTCGTCTTAGTGGAAAATAGCGCGATGTTGAATTGGTGTCTGAAGATAATAAAGGGTAAGTAGCCGTCGTATTGAAAGCGCCATAGGGCAGGGTGATATCGATAACAGAGCCGTTCGGTTCTTCAGCTCTCAGACTCGACGCCACTGAGATTACCACACTTGCATTAGACCTCAACAACTGGTCATGTAATGTATCGTTCACTCGATAAAGTTGGGTTGTACTATCGTAGTTGAGTCCAAAAGCTTCCTCGAACCTGGTACAGACATCTATCGGAAGCCATATATGAGGAATTGACGAGTCGATAAACGCATAGATTTCAGCGTCAAGCAGAGTCTTCCCATGACTGGATATGGCCGTAATGGCGAGCCGAAGATCTCGAGTAGTATCCACAGGCATCTTTACAGTCAGATTATGATGTACATTTGACCTTGTGGCATCATAGCCGCCCAGTATCAGGCTTCCATATGTTTTATCATCCCGGTAATATGCACCAGCAGTATAGGACCATGTAAGGCTTGGAATCTTCTGGTCTTCGAATAATGAAGTGAGTGGACTTCGGTGCTGGTCAGTAAAATTAGAGATGTTGAGCGGTTGATGGTGAAGTCCTAGATGACCAAGAAAGAAGTCCTTCTCTCCCATACCAGTCACCACGCTTGTTCCGATCGATGGTCCACCACTTCCCATTCCACCTAACGTAATATTGTCGAATCCGACTAAAGAATTTGCAGAGTAATCTAAAAATGATCTCGCTTGTGATGGCAACTCGTAGAAGCCTCTTCCCTCCCATGTTGAAGAGTCGTTATAGCTGAATAGTCCGCCTCGCTGTTCGGGACAATCTGCTGGATCTCTCTCATTGCACCCTTCGGGCACTGGAACCCATAGAGATGAGTCCAAGTTAGATATCAATACTCGAGCGACCTGCGGAGGAGTGCCAATCTGAACTTCAAAGGTTGACCATGGGCCATCATTCCCGTCCCTGGATTCGATCGGTCAGATAAGAGAAAACAGCATAATCATGGATCGTTGGACAGGCTTACCAGTTCTGACTCGGCGCCAAATTAATCTGAGCGCCTACCCTACTAGTAGGAAGCCAACTGAAAAAGCCAATGTAGACAAAGAAGCCGAGCACATATGACCGAGAGACCCAGTCCATAGTTTAGGCTTACCAAAGTCGATGGGATGGTTAGACGAATTCTGTCCAACGTATCTTTTATACAATTATGCTTGTTTTGTAAATTTGCAGGAAGTCGTGCTCAAGAGACCAGCATCGCTGGTTCGGTGGTGTATTGAGGATCATCTGCCAGCACTCGGTCAACACGGCAGAAGGTCCAGAAGACTTCAGCTGCTCGTAGGAGCCAGGATAACTCACAGCCTTGCTGCAAGCCATGGATACATTTTCGGCACTCTGACCCTGTCCAATGTCTGCCCCACCATCTTGAGCATGCAACCATTCCAAAGCACACGAATCCTCCCGCATCCCCATGCTTTGCAGTAAGCTGCAGCAGCAAGTTTCGTCGATTGCGTGTCGCAAGGCTCAGTAGCAATTCTGAAAGAATACTGTGCACTTGCTCAATTGAACGCGATATGCCTGCTCAAACGCAGGCAAATCGCAGGGACAAACGCATCGAAACTGGCTAATTGGCGCTCATAGGTTTGACAAGTACTAAATGTTTCAAACCTTTATCTATCCATACCCAACATGCTGTTGTCTTGCTGTTTGGAACTAGACTGTGGGAGCTTTCCTGCGCAGTGTGCAGTCACTACCGTTCTCTCATAACATGGTATTCATGAGGTCGTGTGGGGGGTTTCCTTATCGTTATCTGAGACCCAAGCAGTTGGAGCGTAAAAATTGAGTGTTGGATCAATAGGACCGTGCGGCCCCTTGGTGGATCAGAAACTACAAACGTTACTCTCTAGTCCCTGCTCTCTCCCCTACTAGTTGGATGATATGATTGGATTGGGCGATAACTGTTCGGCCTTCCCAAGTACTCGTAGAGCGATGGTTCAACAGTTCTGCGGATCACTCAACCCCACCAAACCTGCAGTACCCCGCTATTTAGAGTTCATGAACCGAGAACTCTACACAGAAAGATCAAGATCAGATATCCTGCATAACAGAAGAACCATCTCAGTGAGGACTATCATTCGATGAATGGAATAAGTATCCTCTTTCTTCGCTCAGGATTCATGTTGGTGAGGTTCTGCGCCAAGCAAATGTAAAACAATGACTGTGAATGAAACCAACAGAGGGATCTCAAGACAAGACTGTTGCTCTTCTCAGCCTCATCTCAAGACATTGAGTTCTGAGATGGAAAGCGGCACGCCATGTACTAACTAGTATAGTACTTGTACTACGTAGCTCAGCTGGCCTTGGCAGTCTTGCCAGATCATGACATTCTCAGCCTATCAGCGAACATTCCTTCGTGCGTGACTGGTCCTAAACAGGGGAGCGAATGAGCCTTACTAGCCTAATGCTACTGCTTTTATTGCCAACCCCACCTTTTCTTGGGAGGATCGTGCATTTCGACAGCGCGAAGCCTAATTCAAAAGATGAATGTACTCGGTTCATAATTTTCGTCGGGTTGACTGTATCGCTGTAATACTACGGTACATGGCATAAATGTTCGCAGCACGACGCTAAATATCTGCGACTCCAAGCGCTACGGTTACAGATACCCCTGTCGATCCTGCACAGCCGTTCCTGTCAAGATTGGCCCAGCAGACTAACTAGTGGCTCTCTATCCTACTACAGTAAGGGCCATTTACGTGACGTGTAACTTACATAGCGTTTCTAGCGCCGTGCTACGAATACCTACTACTTGTGCCTCCGCCCGTAGTACGCCTTGACAACGCCGCGGAAGGGCCGCAGGGGCCGCCGAGCCGTCTAGTTAGACCTTAAGGGAGCCGAAGGAATTTCAGACAAGACAACCAACATTTTCTGGCGGTGGGCATCCTTCAACCCTCCTCCACACAGAGGCAGAGGTCAACCTCTCAGCTTCCTACATGGGTTCTCTGGTCCCCACAGCACTACCCGAAGAGGCATTCACCTGCTTGCATTAGTCTGGCATTTCCCGTTTTTGTACTCCATGATTGATGTGAATCTGGCAGCCTACAGAACCGCGACGACCCGGTCGCTTTTCCCATCACTGTAGGCCTCCAATCACATCGTGATTGTAGCTCACAGCCAAAGTCGTCCTTCTCCATTACTGCTGCAGCCGCATCCTTCACTGTTCTGGAAACCCTGTGGGGAAGTATTGGACTAAGGAAGCCCAGGCCTACTCTTCGAGTATTGTCTTCCCGCCTCCGAATAGTGATGACTCGTTGAACATTGAAAACAGCTGGGTATATGAAGTAGGCTTGAATTGTTAGTTGAGTATTTCGAGCGGCTTTGCTCTGATTGTTGCACCGAAAAGCCTCTCAAGCTGTACTTGTGTTATTCGTTCGCTTTGTGGGATTGCCTTCTTTAATACAACATTCAGTCCTTCGTTGGCCCTTGTAAGAATGCTTGGTGCCAGAGAGACATATTCCCATCGTTCAGTCTAGTTCTCGATATGCGGCGAGCTATTACTATCCTTTTCGTTGGCAATGCTGTGGCATTAGAACATCAAATTGGCGGTATAGGTATACCGTCGACGTGCTCTTTGAGATGGGTGTAGGCATTGATGAATGCCAGATTCTTACTCCAAAACGACGACTGCTGCGTTCCCAGTGCAAATTGAAATGGTGCAAAGCATCCACGATAATGCACCACCGTGGGATGCCAGAGCTGTGGATGAAGAAGAGATCTTGCTTTCAAAGAACCATTTGGTTGTGTGAGTTGTGCTTATTCATCCGTGGATGACGCCCGAAAAACGGGCTGATAAATTCAGGGCATCTCCTACACCCCTGGTCGATGGCGAAAGTGGATATTACCTTAAAAGAACAGCTGAGACGACACCCATGAGCACTAACTCAGCCTACATCATCGAAATCAGGTCAGACGACGAAGCCGGTGAGGCAATGCTGTTTCCTCGGCAGGTGGAGAGTTCAGCAAGCGGGTTGTTGCGAACGGCATCAGGTCTGATAGGTGATGAGGCAACATCGACGATTAATGCTCCAGGGAACTCTACTGCCACACCGGAGGCTTCTACTGATTCTACAGCGTCAACATCACAGAGTCCGTTTTCTGCTATGCCTACGACTTCTCTGCCGCCGATCCAGTCATCAGTTGAAACGCCAATTGCAACCCGGACCTCTCCAGCTCCAACTTCAGCTTCACCTTCTTCACAACAGGCTTCAACTTCGGCTTCTCAATCAGAAGAAGCGCCAGCGGGATCTACACCTGCATCTCTGTCATCGAATTCCGAGACTGCTGTAATGTCCTCAGTTGTGGAATCATCAGTATCTTCACCCGGTGACCAGTCAGATAGCCCTGCCGCTCCTTCGACGATTGCCATCAGGGCTTCAACCACGCTACCACCGTCCCAAATTACTCAGCCAGTCATTCCTCTCCCAGGGACAACTTTGACACCCAACTCTGCCGGCCAATTCGTGGCTGATAACCAGACACTAGTTCCAGGAGGCTCTGCCATTAGCATATCTGGAACCGCAGTCTCACTGGATCCATCAGCAACAGAACTCGTAGTAAATGGCACTAGCGCTATCAGTGTTATTCCTACTACTGTCTATCAAACCCCACAGCCACCAACAATCCCCCTAGCAGGAACAATTTTAACACTTAATCCCGCCTCAGAATACGTAGCCGGTACACAAACATTGATCCCAGGAGGCCCTGTCATTACCATCTCAAACACGGCTATCTCACTCGATCTATCAGCAACAGAAATCGTCGTAGGTAATACTAGCACCGTCAATCTCGTTCCTACTACCGTCTACCAAACCCCACAGCCACCAGCAATCCCACTGGCAGGAACAACTCTGACGCTCAGCTCTGTCTCAGAATACGTGGTCGGCACACAAACGTTGATCCCAGGAGGCCCTGTCATTACCATCTTAGGTACAGCTGTCTCACTCGACCCCTCAGCCACCGCCGTCGTTGTGAGCGGAATCAGTACGAACAGGGGAGCGAGTGGGTTTATAACCAGGGGTCCGAGTGGGGTACCAACTAGGAATGCGACGGTGACGGCGACGGCGACGACGATCATAGAGCCTTATACTGGAGTGGCATCGAAGAATAATATTGATGGAGTTGGATGGTGGATTTTTGCCATCCTTGTGGTGGTGAATATGTTCATGAACTAATCATTTGACGGGCATATAGAGGCAAAGGATGACATTGAGTGATAATTATAGTAATATCAATATCTGACGCCGTTTGCTCGTCCAGATGCACTATCGATCCTCAAGAATGACTGGAAGTTAAGGGAGTCGGAAGACTCAGGGCAGTAATCCCGCTTCCGACCCATGGGCGTACAAGTCCAACCAAGGCTCCATTCTTACTGGCTATCAGACCAATCCATCTCGGGCACGGACGGAAATCCAAGTTAGCCAATAACTTGAGTCCTTTCAAGCCTCATAAGGGCAAGGCTGAAAAGCGGGATTCATCTCCCGGGGTAGAAAGGTACGACATGCAGTTACGTCTCAATTGTCCCTGACTTCCGTACCCACAAAATGAAGCTGTCTCCTCATCATGCATATGTCCGCTACAGCTCTAGCTGATTATGTTGTTTTCTCTTCTCTCTATCTTATCCTCGTCGAGAAGCACATCTTTTTCGCTTTCCATACTCCATACTTACTACTAGTTTTTGGTGTTCTACTTGCCAAGGCTGCAGCAAAATCATGAAGCTAAATCGCGGAAATGCTAAGTTAATCTCAACTAGGAAGGTGTAGCATTCCGTGACACAAGGAGAGTAGTAAGAGCTCAAAAACTGAGACTGGACATGGATGAGACGAGGGTGAACAGTCTAAGTAGTACTTAGACTGAGTTGTGGCGATGCTGGGTAAGTAGAGGCCAGGAAATGCTTAGTAACTGCCTGTGCAAAGAGGCCGTAAGACTCGGTCAAGTTGGCGGTGCTCACACCCGCGTCTTGACCTCTCTAAATTCCATTTCCACTTTTGAGATCTGAGCACACGTGACTGTAACCTGAGCGAGGCTGTTCCGAGCCTTTACCCGCCCTGAGCAGCCCGGTTTGACATCCGTTAGGTTGCCCAGGTTTTAACCCCCCGTCCCCAATCACTCGTGGATTAACTCGTATTACAACGGCTTGTAGCGCGACAAATCAATAGTACAGCAGTTTAGCGCACAACGGTAGTTATGTAGTACCTACAATTCGTACTTAAAAAGCTTGTCGCGTGACCATCCATAGTACCACGTTCTGTTGCACAACGACCTACAACTCGCATTTCAACGTCTTACAGTGGGCTAAGTTGTAGTACCATTATCGAAGGCCCAACTTTGGGTTCATTTGAAGGATTTTCAATGGCTGCTGCCTCACAATTCATGCATAGACATGGTTCATCCTCGCCACGAATATCAAGGACGGTGCGGAATTAGTATAACACTTGGGAATGTCTGAAGGGAGTTCTTCATTTCATGCACTTCCTTTTGATCGAATTTCTTACATGATGACGTATAATACCTCAGGATGTTATGACGTGTTGAAGTATGCTTCCCTCCCATTTGCAAAGCTTGTTGAACAACATCTCGCTCTGTATCTCGAAGCGAGTTTGCCGAATCACTCCCCGCGAGATTAGTACTCAGATACGACGAGGTAGAAGACGACCACCACTTCTCTCTCGGCCGTCACCTCTTTCGACCCCTTTGTTCCTCCTCTTCATCCGACCATTCAACCTCCTCCTCCTCCTCCTCCTCCTCCTCCTCCTCCCACGCAGCATGTTCCGTATCTTGCCCCTTCTGCCTTTTCTTCGGGCTGCCACTTCTCGACGTGCTCTGACTCGCGGCCTCTTTGGCAAACTTTGCACATTCCGGTCCCACTCAGTCTCGCTCCTCCATATCTATTCCCACTCGTCAGCGAAGTTTCCTTAGTTCACCTCATTGCAGGCACGTTCCCAGTACTCGAATATCGTGTATGCAAATTAAGCGAAGAGAATCTCAATACCGGCCTCAAACTGCTGTATAGGCACATTGTGATATAAGCGAAACATTTTAGATAAGCACGAACGATCGGCGGACCACAGGCTCATGTAGAGAAGTCTATAAGGTGGATGAATGACGTTAAGCTCCGATCAACTCAAATCGTAAGCAGTAGGCTTGCGTAAAGGATATAAAGCAGAGAGAAGTCAAGTTCTAAAATCATTGAACGGAGTTGACGAAGAACAGTAAGCTTCGATATGTGCATAGAAAATCCAGGACGTCAACAATAAAAGCAAACTATCGTCATAATATTGAAAGTTGGCATGACATAAGTTGTAGAACCTAGATTGGTTTAAGGAACAAAAAGAAGTCACCGTTGTTGAACTAACTTCCCCAATCGTACTTTTGTTGGTTATAGAATATTGAGTACTTTTAAGAAGGCAATTCACAAGCAGAACCATACAGTAACTTTTGCAAAGCATTAAGAAATCCCGGTTCGATTTCGAAGCCATCATGAGCTGGGCGAAGTGTCATACCCACATTCTTCTTGAGTCTCGAGAGTATGACGTGACACGCTGACAGACAACAACTAGATCTATGGGGTTATGTCGGGGACACAGCATTTGATGTCGTCGCCTCCGGGGCAGTATCCACTTTGAAAATTTTGGTTAGTTCTGTAAAGTGAACCGATAGAGACATTGCGTTCTAATGAGAGAAAGCTTCCAAAGGGGCGTGGAGGGGCAACCTTACCTTACAAACCTGCCTCCTTTGCAGCCTTTATTTGTATTTCTGCAAGAACCCCGGGTCGAATATGGGGCAGCACATGGTTTGAATTGACAGCATTGAACATTATTGGGAGCTAGAGTGAGAGATTTCATGTTAGCAGAACCCCAGAAATAGTTTAATCATGAACGATAGAATACAGCATTTGTAAGTCAGATGGTTGACTACTTACTGTTCGGACAAAACCCAGGCACACTAACAACAGCGCAACTATCCGTTCGTTGGCAAGTCCCTTTCCCCTACAATGGTCAGCACCGACTAGCTTAATCAGCTATTGAAAGAGAAATGCATACGTTCAGACTGCCTTTGCCGCTCACTGTGCATGCATCGCCTATTGCTCGAGAGGCAAGGTGATCAACAGTTCGAGCGACGGCCTCGCCATCAACAGGGATAGGTTCGGCAATTGGATTGGCCAAGGCCACCACAGTAAACATGAGAAGACTGAGCTTCATGATGCTCATTGCTGCACCGGTCTGATCAGTGACGAAGATGTATGTTGAAGTTATGGGAATATGAGCTCTCACAAAAGGCTCGAAGGGAAAGGAGCTCGTCTTTATACGCAATAATCTTGGTGCTGTCAACGAAGTTAATAGCTGTATCCAAACAAGCAGTTGATTCTCACAGCTCTAGAGCCAGGCAGAATGTGACTTACTGCGAGACTTGCTGCAGAATGAAACGTTTCGCTTAATTGAAGCTATCTTCTGCTATTTCAAGAGCAAAAATCGCGCCAATGCACAACATGAATATTCCCGCGTACGAAAGTGTCTGGACTCAGGTCTAGAATTCAGTAAACTGGCGTTGTTCGTGTAGACTGCAGGAGCAGTCCAACTATACGATTAGTGCCTACCTGCCAAGCATAAATATGGCTAGTTGCGGCACATAAGGGTCGCGGTTCCTTTTGAACCAAGATTCGGTTCGACATTACGGAGTACTCCGTACTGATTCGATATTCAGTTGTCTATCGTCATCTGTGGCTCCTTGAGATTCAATGCCATGGTATGGGCACGAAGCTTGGGTGTAGGATGAATTGTCTAAGGCAGAGGGTCACCTCTGGGCAACGGGACGGAAAGAGCTAGTCTACTAGCTAATGGCAGGGCCGTTACGTAACATTCAAGATCCAGAGGTACTGAGTTTCACCGATGCATTGCAAGATGGTGTGCAGGCCCCGCTAGCTTTATGGTCTGTGATACAGAACCCTTGTGCCGTGCCTCACATGATAATATTCAGACAAAAGCTGAGCATGCAAAGCGAGCCTCGACCATAGTGTCTCTGTGGTTGCGGTAGATCAGGTAACGCCAAGAGCTGAATATCTACATCTACTACTTACCAGGAGAAGGGGTGATAAAAAATGTGAGCTAAGTGCCGTTAATAGGAATGACAACTATTCTGTCAAATGAGGACCATATTAGTATGGTCAGAGATGCATACTTTGACCACAGTAGGATCATATTTTTGACACATAACGTTGTAAATGATAAAATCTTATTGGATTACAGATGTCTTAGCTAAATATCCTAGTACACTCTAAGCAATCTTACGGTTAGGCTAACTCTAAGCGCACTTTAGCGGCTCTTTTACCATTTTTTAAAGTGGCTTTCTTCCTGCTAAGTAGTATTTCACAGAGCGAACCCTGTGATGCTAGCCATCTCCGGCCAGACTGGAACAGGAAAGAGAAGACGATAGGCATCAACTGTGCAGCACGGTGCGATGAGCAGCGTCAGGAACAACAAGGATGGGAAGATCAAGATAAACTAGAGGAGGGTACCAGGTCGCTAGACCGAGGGGAGCTCTTCTAGAGGAAGGACAGGTGTGGGACCCTGCCAAGACAGATGCTCGTGGAGTGATCATAAGCAAAAGTTGAACAACGAGTTCTCTTTTCTATATAAGCAAGTTTCTTCTCATAGTTTGATATTTTCTCTCCTTGTTCTGTAGTCAACTCATGGTTTCACACTCAGCTTTAATTCACGTGGTTGGCTTGTGATATGCCCCGCTCTCAGACGGAATACTCGTTGTTGCTTCATCAGAGTCAGCCTCTTGAAGTAGCTCAACACGAAGATATAATACTTCGGACAATAATAGTATCAAAAACCGCCATATTAGACGGCATACTTTATACGCGAGCCTAGTCCTAGAGGTCTCAAAACTAGGCCGTTAGACCGTCGCGTAAACTTAACAAAAGTTCGAAGGGACATCAGAAACGGGACCGGATATGGGTAAAGCGAGAAGGTGAGCGAGAGGGCCTAAGCTGAGGCGAGGCCAAAGTTGAGCTGGGTGGCTAATTCCTGAGTCAGGCAGCGACAGAGGCCAACCCCATTGGGTGCCAAGGCGCGGTCAAGATGCGGTGCGGGATCCACTATTCTTACAACAGCCATTCCCTAATCTTACAACTGTTGTAAGATTTAGCAAAACCTTATTCTTACAACAGCCTAATTAGGTAATAGGGCTTCTCAAATAGGCCTAGCTTTCACCTTTTCGGGTTAGATCAAAAACTTTGTAGAAACGCGTAACCTGTCAGGACTCAGGAATCAAACACCAACAATCATTGCGCAGCAGGATGGACCCCGAAACTGTGTTACATCCGGTGCAAAATCGGGGCCATCAGAGTTCACATCTGCTAACAAATTATTAGCAGATGCAATCTATCTGACATATAGTCCAACACATGAAGTCAACTATTCCTCCTTTTAGAGGAAACAGTATGCCATAATCCTTGCCAGACCCGAATCACCTGTTCATGAAATTCTTACAGATCCCTTTGAATTTGACGACGATCCTTTTGTCAACAACTTTAATAATGAGAATCTTAGTGACGACTAATTAGATTGTGACGCCGATAATTTGCTAGATACGGGCGAAGAGTCAGCTACCTCTGTCTCTTTTCCGGAGCGCAATCGAATCCCTGTTGATGAGTTGTATCTGCTGCAAAATCAGCGCCCATGGAAGATATTTCCTCCTAAAGAGAATGAGTTTAACAACGACAACTCTTCTGCGCCTAATTCTGACATTCTACCTCTTCTGATTGAATCTTTTGAATCGCAAAATGCAGCTTTATAAGCTGTCTAAGACTAGGCTTGAGAGCATGGCTATACGTTGAGAATTCGCTTGTTAAGGAAACGTCAGAAAGATAACGCGCATCCTTTCTTTATCTATTTAGAATGCGATCATAGAGGCAGAAATAACCCTATATCAAAGACTAATAATAAACGCCTTCGAAAGAGCTTTTTAAGACGATAAGACTGCCTTTTTCGCTATTTAATTAGCTAGTCTAGAAAGGAACCTAACGGACTATAGATAATCTAGTACTCAGAAGCGCCTTATGTTACGTGTTACGTTGGAAGCAGGCAACGAGTGCGCGAGATCTTCAGCCCATGTTGAGTGCTATCCTAAGACTGAAGAGTCGACGGTGAGGGCTCTGAGGTCGCTTCTATATAGCAAGCATGCCCCTTACTAACGTCTAGTGCTAATTAATACCTGGCGCCCTAGCGCTAGCAGGCGATAAGCATAGCAGCCGTGACACCTTATAATACTTATAACTATAGCCTATCCTTCTTCTCTACTACCTATCTAATTTATTGCAGAAATACTTAAAAAAGCAAGCTAGAGCTGCTTAAACAGATTAAGAATAAATAAATATTGTAGATATCTGCCTAAGATACCTTATCCTTATTATAGGCGTAGTTTCCTGAGGCCTTTATAACTCTCTAAGACATTAAGAATATCTATAGTAACGTTAAGAAGACTATGAATCATAGCCTACTAGCGATTTAGGCCATGATGTTAAAGCTTAGAGACGAATACTAGTTCTATTACACTCTTGATAATTATAATAGATTAGAGAGAGTACTATTCTTTTATAATAAGTCTCTATAGCTTCTACGCCTCTTCCTAAGAAGCTATGTCCTTAATTCTATATATAGAATAAACTAATTTAATCTCTTCCTACTTAATATTATCAGATTTATAGTGACAAATAGGTCGTTTATAATTAGCCAGACTTTTCTAATTTATAAAGAAGAGGAGAATTATATCTAGGTCTTAAGCTAGATATAAGATCTTTATAAAGAATATAGCTTGCCTACTCCTGAGTCTATTATAACAGATAAAGCAGGAGGCCTTTATAATGCCTGCGCTACTATTTAGCCTAAAGTGCCTTATCTTCTCTGTTATTAGCATATTAATAAAGACGTAAAGGCATACTATTAGAAGTATTAATTAGAAAGGACGGATTACCTTTCTAATAAGGCCAGAAGAGCTATTATTAATAAGTAACTTAAGGAGTTTAATAACTTCTAATTATAGTTACTCTATATATAAACAGAAGAGACTTATAATTGAATATAATAGATAATTCTATAGCATTATTAATATGTATAATAGAAAATTCTTAGCTATTTAACTTATGTTTAGTTATCTTTTAAAAAGACCTTTATTTAAGTATAAACTAACAAGATTAAATATTATAATTATATTAATAGCTTAAAAATAAAGAGCATACATTAAGCTATTAAATAGCAAATAATATCTAAACAAGCTTATCTTAACAATATAGTAAACTATCTTATAAGGTATCTTGATATTTATAACTAACAGCTTTAATAAAAACTTAAATACAACTAGCAAAATAAAAGGACTAATCTACAAAATCTTTTATATTATAAACTCTATAGTTATATTAGTTACTATACTATTAATTAGATTAAAGAGCATTATTAATTTTATAACTTGACCCTCTAAAACACTTATTTGTTACTAATAGCTTATAAACAAGTATTTATAACAACAAAAGGCTTACCCTGTACTTATATTCTATAGTAACGAATTTAAGATTATCTTGCTCTTAAGATAGCTGATTTTGACGCTTAATAGAGGGTTGACCACTTTTAAGAAGTAGCTAAGCTCGCTCTTATTCGTAAGATTATTAATCTACTAAGCGTCAGAACTTAGTATACAAAGTCTCAAAAGCGTTAACTATCTCTATTTAAAGTTATTCAGGGCCAGGTTAACTCTTTATCTATAGCAGATTCTTGAAAAGGCAGAAAGCAAGCAAAAAATACTCTATTTACAGGCAGAACGTATACTTAAGAAGAATAAAAAGAGAGTTTATATATAGGCATAGCTTAGTAGCCTATTTTGATTAACGACATTAATATAGAGATAAAAGAGGACTATTATAACAGTAAAGAAGACTCTTTAGGCGCTAAGCTTTATCGTTAACAACGTCAAAAGACTACCTAGCCTTAGCCTGGTCTTCAAATTCAAGAATAGATAAAGTATATATCTCTGCAGGCAAAGACTATATCCCCTTTTTCTACATTAATAAGAACAGTACTACCGCCTCCTTCTGTATTAATAAGAACAGTAACGCTGCCTCTTCTATATTCATCTTTACTAAAGCTCCGAACGCCCTCTCTATTTGCCTTACTCGATCTTTCTTTATTCGAAACGTCTCTGTCTTTGCCCTTTCTATCATCTGTTCTAAATAGCTATTTTTAACCTTCTCCGCCGCCTCCTCCTTCTTCTCCGCCTCCTCCCCTGTTTCTATAGACCACAGTATCGCTAATGACCTTACTAGCGAAGAAACGACTATGCAAAGAGAAGCTACGGCCACTGAGATATAGAAATGGATAAGAAGAAGGAGAAAGAGAGCATACAGTCAATCAGAGCAGATATTAAGCTATAAAAGGCCTTAATTCTACGAATACAGCGCCTGTCAACGCTCTCAACGCCCTATTTGCGCATTCAGTGCTCAAATCATTCAGAATCTGATTATGTAAGCGAGATTTATTACAGGGCACAATAGCACAGAGTAGGTCAATCTGGGCGCAAATTTGCTATATCTGTGCTATTTGCACCTGCTCCTTCCTCAGCGAGTCCCTCAGCACTTGAATATCTGTGTTCCTCGCAGAGTTGTAGTAGGTGATAACAAAACCCGGGGCCTGTACTTCTGTAGGCGTAGTTTTAGTGTAGGCCCCATAGTAAAGATTAGCATCAAGTACATAGTGCGGTAGTTTGAATCACCTATTTCGATTGTTATAAGAATAAGGATTTTCAATATTTTACAACTATTGTAAGAATAGTATGCGGCTTATTCTTACAACAGCCCCAATTGCCTCTTTGAGAAGCCCTATTACCTAATTAGGCTGTTGTAAGAATAAGGTTTTGCTAAATCTTACAACAGCCCTAAGATTAGGGAATGGCTGTTGTAAGAATAGTGGATCCCGATGCGGTGCAGGATACTTACCCCTATGGTCGGACACAAGATTGATTTTTTCCCCCAATTCCATCCATCCAGAGCGGTCGCTGCTTTAAGCTGAGCCGAGACATAGCGCGTCAGAGTAGCCCTGAGCAGAGGCTGAGCAGGTGACTAAGGAGTTAGCAAGACCCGGTTCTGGTCCAACTGGTGCCGTTTTAGGGCTCTCAGACTCAGCTGTACTAACTGCTCACTTTATTCTATCAGTGTTGTAGCCAAGCCTGCTGTCTAGAGCTTAGCCGCTTCCTTTAAGCTCCTCCTTCCTTATGGCCTAACTTACGGAAAGTGGGTTAGGGTAAGACGAAAGACTTCTCTACATTGATACCGCAGCCTAAGGCCAAAGATTTATCTCCTTTGTGCAGCTTTGTAGCGTACACTCCTTAAGGGAATTCGTTTCCCTCGGGAAATGTTGGTATCTTTGTGCTGCTCAGAAGGGTACACTCCCTAGGGAATCCAAATTTCTGAAGAGAAGATTTTCGTTATAACAGCAGAAAAAAGGTATCTTACTCCGTATCACATTCTTCGCCCACATCTAAACTTCTCAGCACTAGCAAAAAAGGGAATTCTATCTACGATTCATTTATCCTTTTATGATAAGTTGCCTTCCGGGTATGAAGCGAAGCATTATACCCAACTGAGGCCGGCCTTGAGGGGAGGAGTAACGAAATCTCTATGGTCTTGCCTCAGAATTTTATTAGCAAGGCTACAAAAAGATTCAAGCCGTACAAGGATTTCATTTCTTCCAAAAACTTAACATCTTGACCAGTATTCAACTTTTTTTTGGGCCACCGACCTTAATTCTTTGCTTAGAGTGCCATACAGTCGTTTCTGAAGCGCGTGGTAAGGAGGATGTAATTCTCGGGCTGATACGGCGGTGGTACGTTTAGAATTCTGCTAATACATACTGCAGGCCTGTTGGAACTCAGAATAGTTGGGAAACGTATTATTGTTGAGCAATAACGCGTCGATGGCGGCGATATGAAAAGGAAGGAAGATTTTCGTTCAGTGGTATTTTGCGTAGCAGCGCTAGTAGACACTTTCAGCGAAGCGAGTGGTTACTGACATGGCGAGTTAGTTAATGTTTCTTTGCCCTGCACGGATAATCTGCAGATCCTGGTTTACGGTCATTGTCAACGGTGCACAAAGGTAGGGATGGGATGTGTTTTGGTCTCTGATAGATAATAATCTTGTTTATGAAGCTACAATTGTCAGAATCCATGCGCATATGATACGTATGTGTTACGTATCAGCAGGATGATACAGGGTCCCCGCATGCGAAACGCACGAAACGCTCTTGTAACTGGTACGCCCTGATATCTATGGCAGTGAGCATTGCTATACGCATTGGACGCCAGCTGCTGTTTCTGAGTCATTACAGTAATGCGCTTCTATGCTATTAGTATGAGCAAATGCTCCTCTTGATAGGTGTAACTCAATCGATTGAATCCTCTCTCTCTGGATACTGCTTATCTAATCAGTATCTCCGTACGCTATTTGCTACATCCTCTAACAACAATAAGGCAGGGCAGTCTGATCTAGTTAGCATGGTACAAGGAATGTGTGGTCGGCTATTGCTGGCAATCTGATGAGGCCTGGGAAAGATCGGCCGATGGCTATACCAAAAAGCGTTAGAGGATGCACGGACCTCCTCCATGATTCTATAACTACTCACCATAGTTGAATGAGCCTTCAAGTATGAAACCAAACATCATCTAAACAATATTCTGCAAAGACGAATACTACAAAATGGAGAGTCAGAATAACGTCGCCTCTCATGATGTTTGCGCCGAGCTATCATCCCCGGCACGTGAACAAAGCGGACACTCTCTAAATTCACATTACCATCACCTTCGCGGAAACAGCAACAGCAACAGCAATAGCGGAGACTGCGAGACCATAATTACCAATCCATTGCTGTGCAGATTTCTTTCTTATCTCAATGCCGGAAGAGTTGCCTGTCCTCAGGGCGACCATACCTACCATACCTTCACCCTGCAGCCAAGAGCATACACGAAGACTTTGGAATCTCTGCGCGAGTCTGATTCTGAGGTTTGGGGATACGTCTTAAACAAATTAAGGTATGTATCTATTAGGAACTTAAAACTAGGATTATTTACTAATACCTTTCTTTTGCAGACACGATCTTATCGAAGACGAATTTCTAATCATTAAGATGCCCAGCTCAACCCACGACATAACGGTTGACCAGATTGGTGATTTGATCAAAAGCCAATTAGCCATTATGGTCGAAACAACCTCAAATCAAGACACAAAGAAACTCATCCAGGATATTAAAGCTGGCCTTGCTAGGTCAGTCTGGCTTGATGATTCAAAAAATAAACGTGAACCCGATCAACAATTCCTTGTCAAAGGCTCTTATTACCCAGGAGTCATAATCGAGTTCGCATATTCACAGTCCTTTCAAAAGCTACGACGAAAAGCTTATGATTTTATCGTCGGATCAACTGGCAGTGTTCAACTTGTGATTGGTCTAGAAACAGGAGATAAAAAGTCAAAGTCATTTAAGATCTCAGTTTGGCGACCAGAATTTTATCGATCTGAGAATCGAGATGCTGTGAGAATGAAGACTATCACTGAACGGGATATCATACGAGGCAGTGATGGCACGCTCAAGCCTGGATGCTTGAGATTCCATCTCCGGGACTTTGACGAAGACCTGGCAATCAAGTATCCCTATGCCGAATTGACTAAAGAGATCACCCTGGACTATGATGTTCTAGCCAGGTACCTCATTTGTGCTGAGCAGTTTGATGTACCGCGGCGATCCCCACGCCGGGACATTATAAAGGCACCCTATGAGTGAAAGATCGGGGAGATCGGGAGGGGCAGGAGCGATTGTGGGGCTTTGATTTCGAATGGAGCAAGACTGAGATGAGGTGGGGAGTAACTTGATTGCTCTCGCCCTTGCTTACTACACCTACCTTAAACGAAAGTTTTATCAGGCTCCTCCTGGAAGAGACAAGACCGTGGGCTGTGATGTCTCCGCTTCAAGAACATGAGAGCACGAATCTCTATTACAAGGGAGAAGAGAGCTTGCTGAAGAATGTTTGAGAAGAGATCCATGACCCGTGTACATGCAGCAAGTCGTCAATCATAACTCATCATAAGCTGAAGTTCAAGACTGAAAGGAAAAGTAGAAGAACGAAGCAACGAAGGTAAATGCCACAATCACGCCTGCCCAAATCTTCTGGTAGAAATTTCTTTGTAAAACCCTTTGAAAATCTTCAAAGTCGCCCTTCTCCAAAGACATTGAAGTCTGATTCTCTACGAGCCCTTCTTCCGTATCCCACAAATCTGATCCCGTCCCCGTTTCGTTTTCCTTTGCTACGCTTTCACGTGTATGTCCGTCACACCAGAGAAGCTGACTCTCAGGGTCCATTCAGCGGTCCCCTTCAACATCCTGCTGACGGCTGCGTGGTTGAAACAAGCTTCTCCACTACCTCCTTTTGCCCGCAGCGCCTCCGGGATCTCCGTTATAAGTGGCGTTGCTGGGCATCGGACAGAGCCGGAAACAGCCTAAAACCCATGATCCTCCTCATTTCTGTCGCTCAAATGACCTCGGATGGTCTCATTGCTCCGAATATAGAGCGAGGTTTGAATTTCCGCCACCTTCGACCGCCTGCATGAGCGCTGAGCTCTTGTCTTGTATCACAAACCAGACGCATTGTGTATCCGCCGAGGGTCAGGTGGACGGATTGAGCAAAACACCTGCCATAGGGAGCCGTTAAAATGACGGCGGAGATGTAGCTTCAGATGAATTGCCGATCAAAGACGAAGTGCTGATTCGTGGTTGGGCAGTAGCGGATGAAAAGTCAAAGCAGCGGATTGAAGATTGCAGCCAGGGGTCTTGACATGCAGAAAAATGAGTTGGTAGCACATGGATGATCCATGTTGTTAAAGGTGGTTTCAAGCTATCACATGCAACCTTTCCGGGAAGATGGTGCTTTTCGTGTTCGTGGAGCAGATTAGGCCTTGCATTAAACAGACAAAGTCTAATACTTTTACAGGGGTCTTAGAGCTTTCGACGTATCCAAAAGGAAAAAATCTTTAATTACAATATGTCCATAAATTATTTTATATACTCATTTTTAAGATAAATGTCTTATTATATTTACTAGAAATAAGATTGCTAGGATTCAAATGTTGAATAGACCTGAGATCTCTGCCGAATGGACCGCTCCCAACGCATTCCGCTAGTAGAACAACGTAAATGTTGTGAGAATATGTAATCGAAGGACTTTAAGACGGTGACAAGAGGATTGATATGGTCAAGTCATCCACTGCGAAGGATGTATGCGTAATAGTACTGTCATGCTGTTTCAGCTCGCCGGGGTATTTTTATTCTCTACTCTGCGATTACGGAATATTGACACCCCAACTCCACCGAAACCTCCCAAAGCCCAACATTAAATGCCGCCATATTCGACCATGTCCGGTTCCAATAAGGATTCCTACCGAACAAGGTACCTGTTCTGTTGGTACGGAACAGCACAAAACTTGGGTACCGTTGCGTTGGTTACAAGCGTTGATTAAAACGGTTCCGCTGGCTGGGAACACTGCTCCTGATTTAAAGAGCCGCTGTCTTTTCAGCCGCGAGAAGCCGTAAGACTTGAGAAGGTCGAAATCTCGGGGTGGTTGTTGTTCTTCGCATTGTCGGTTGGAAGGAAGCCCTTTGTGTCACGCAGCTTAGGATCCGCACCGTGGTCCAAAAGAAACTTCACAATGTCAACCCGACCGTTTTCGGCGGCCGTGTGGAGTGGAATTCCCAAGGCCATGAAATTGTTCCAATGCTCGTAAGAGAGCTTGTGGTTGTGATATTGAATTGTATTGATGTCGCAACCTTTGTCGAGAAGCATCTGGATGACCTCCAAACAATCCGGCAATGTTCGACGTACGGCGGCATGGGTTAGCTGCCCATGTTCGATCGAGCCACCGTGCTCGAATAATAGGTCGATGACATCGCGTGATGCATTCTCAATGGCCGTTGTTAAGGGCGTCCAGCCGTAGCTGCATTGAACGATGGGGTCGGCTCCATGGGACAGAAACCATTCACAAAGCGGACGATTGTTAAAAACTCTCCTGTCATTACTTGTCAGCTTTTGTGACAATGAGCTAGGACAAGCCATACACGATTAGCGATGTACGGTCCGGAGCAAGAGGTCTGTTGATCTCCCAGCCATGTTCTAAAAAAAGGGTCTGCGTTTGGCGAAAATGAAGCGATTAGCACAATCTTGAGAAGAGTGAGATGACTTATTCAGAGGGCCCTCGATAAATGTAAGACCCGGTGAAGGACGTTGTCGAATTGAATGACACTGTCCACAAAAGCGCAAGACCGTTGAGAGCTCACAATAGAGATTCCATCCCATGGTCAACAGCAATCTCGGGATGATGTTGCCGGAACGGGCCATTTTGAGAAAGTAGAAAGGCGACGACGGGTGTGTGGCGCGCTTTCAGAGCCTCACGGAAGACATTGTACAGGTCTTTGTTGGTAAATTGGCCTGTTGCGGTATGTGGAAGCCATTCGTCCTCGTAGATCGTTTTGGCCAGGGCAAGATCACCGCGCAAGGCGGCTTCTTTCAATCTATAGTAGGCGTCGGGAAATGCTTGGGCGCCATTGCTAGCGGTGGGTATTCTTCTACCGCATACTATGTAATCGGAATCATCCGGCTTGAAGGGGTCGTCACACTGCTTTCTCAATTCAGATATAGTAGCGTCCCATGCTGCGACATCATGAAAGATTACTTCAGGTACCTTGGCTGATAAGATAGACATGAAAAGGGGAAATTTGGAGCGTCCGCTGATTCTTAAAAAGGATATGGGAGTGCTAGAAAGGAAGTGTTTCGAGATGTGGCTGTGACGATGTAGAAGTAAAGATCTTGAAGTAAGATCGACTTAAGGCTCCGGCCCCAAGTTCTATAAAGTGGGCAGCCTGAACATCGTCTAAACTTAAGAGGAAAGATATGCTTAACAATAAGATCACGACGCATGTTTTAGGTTGTAGGATTGGAAGAAAAAGTTGACTGAACAAGACTTAAGCAGCTTGAGCAGCCTGAGCAAGCGGCTGAGCAAGCTGCGCTGAAAGTAAAGGTGATAATGCTGACTAACCAGATAGAGGCCCTTCAAAAAGAAATCTTATAAGATAATACCCGTATAGTCGGACATAAGATTTTTTTCCCCCAGTTCTAGTTACGGCCTCTATCCTGAGCGGTGCTGCTTTAACCTGAGCCGAGATTGAGCTGAGACTGAGCTCGTCTGAGCAGCCGTGAGCAAAGGCTGAGCACGGGACTGAGGAGTTGGCAGGACTCGCTTCTGGTCCAACTGGGGCCTGCTTTTGGGCTCTCGGACTCGGTTACAACTGCTCACTTTATTCTATTAGCGTTTCAGCCAAGCCTGTTGCCTGGAGCTCAGCCGCTTCCTTTAAGATCCTCTTGCTTATAGCTGACTTACGAAAAGTGAGTCAGGGCGAGACTAAAGACTTTACATTAATACAGTATTGCAGCCTAAGGCCAAATAGTTTATCTCGTTTATGCCGCTCAGTAGTCTACACTCCTTAGGGAGTTAGTTGCCCTAGAGAAATATTGCGGGATGTGTTAGAAATAATACATTTGCAACAATGCATTCGGCTATTAGGACTTGACAGGACTTTACGTGACCTATCAATAGTAATAGGATCTGTTAAAGGGACCTCACTACTTTTAATTAGGTTTAGCTCTAAAAATCAGTATCTACTATTTCTAATTAGGCTTTAATCATCAAGAACACTATTCGAATAGATTTTGTTACAGAAATAGTGTCTGTCTCTACCTCTGCTGTTGCCATTACAAACCAGTGCCTCTGTAGACCTATGCCTCCGCCTCTGCCTCTGCCTCTGCCTCTGCCTCTGCCTCTGCCTCTGCCACTATAGGCCTATGCTGCTGTTCTGCTACAATCTCTATACATTAACTGCCTCTGCCCTCTTTTTACTAGGTCTTAACACTCGTTGTAATTGTATGTCTTTCTTGAAAAAAGATTTAACTATTAGATTTGTTGAACGGGTATACGGATTAGGAACAGCTATCGACACTATCAACGGTCACAACTTGCATGTAGAGTGAGATCACAGTGCATCTGCACACCAAGTGCAGATCCTGCTAGCGCATGGATCACGTGGTATATCCTGTGCCACCAGCACATGAAATCCTGCACTATACCTGATTAGGAATAACCTGACCGGGCAATATTTGGCTGTACGTGTACAGCCAAATAGTGCAGACTATAGTCTGCTGATCGGCATGCATTCTCAACAAGATTAACTAATACCCTCTTTTTTTAGTCTTACTGCCTTTATTGTTTTAATAAACTTCAATATTAATAACTATAAAGAAAGAGCAATATTTATTCAGTGATAGTATCAACAGAGAGCATATGTCGAACTTGCTGACTAATCGACGGATCAGTGTGGAATAGCAAGTTGTTCTATCTAAATCAGCGCGCAGAGTGCGCATTTATACGTACAGATGCTGCGTAACGTGAAACGCAGATACCAAAAATACATGCGGATCTTATACGAAATGCGTATCAGATCTGTTACAGAACGTATATAAAACGCATAGTCAAACAGCGCTCAAACAGTTCAACAGCATACAATCTTGTCAGACACGTGAGTTTTTACCAATTTTTAACGACAAAGCCTGCCTGCAGTGTCTACGAAAGGGGCATATGAAGGTACAAGAATCTTAGGGCGTCGACAATGCTTATATATAAATATCGTTCACTACATACTACGGCGGGAGGCATAAGTATTGTTAGCGTAAGCTAGTAATGACTAGTTTCATGTACAAGGGCTCAGGTCCTCCGGGAAACCAGTAGGACGATTATGATTGGACAGCATCTCGAAGCCATACAGGCTAATACTTCTTAAGTAAGGTGTGTTTTCGTCAAGGCAGCGTCAGATACAAAATTTCTAGCTTGAAGCTAACTGTTACAGCACGTGAACACGCCAAGCACAGACAGGCACTACGGAGCTGCCTGGCGCTCTGCGAAGGAACTATGACGGACTTGGACAGGACTGGACCCTGAACAGCACACATGGTCAGACCTGGACAACGTAATGATCAGAGGTGATCAGGATGATCAACTCTGAGCACAAATCTTTCAGTCTATATAAGCACGCTCATTTCCCAGATAGTTTCATAGTCTTCGTAGTCAACTCATGTTATCAGCTCATACCCAAGTTGAAGACATTCAGTGATCTATACTTGTACCCCCTGCTCTACCAAACCAACCCTCTTGGACTTGACCCTCGTTGAGACTTGTCTTAACCTGTTGAGCCCTAACACTAACATTACTTATGTCTCCTACCGTAGTAAAGCTAAAAGACCAATAGCAGCCACTCGATCCCTTTCGTGTAGACGACCTCTTTCGCGACGGTTGTTGTTTGTTCCCGTTGGGCTTCTTTGACGCAAGTGGTCGCCTGTTTGACCTGCTTGCTTCGGCGTAGAAACACGTAGTTTTATGTTCGTTTGGGGCTGCTGAACTCCCAGGCGAATCCGTAGGTTCTGTTATCAATCAGCTTGCTGCGCGAGCCACTGTTCCAGGCACGTCCAAGTGATTGCATCTGAAAGCTGGCGTCCCCAAAATTGGAAGATTCCGACTCCATCGCCGGTACTTTAGGTTGAGCCCCTTTGGCGTTCGGTGCCGAATCGTGCCCTGTACATCCGGTGCTGTCCTTTGACATTCAGAATCTCCAGCATATCTCCAGTCAGAACCAGTCAACACCACAGTGACACAGATTCCGAGGCTGTTGCAGACGAAATGCCTAGTCCTTTGTGTTGCGATTTGAATCAGCTACAACAGCATCCACAACTTCCTTGTTCAGTCCCTTCCAGTTCTTCCTGGCCCAAGCAAACCATGAAATGACCGCAAACAAGAACACAGCCGCATTGATTGGCAGTGCATAGTTCATGTTGCTAGAATCAATAGGCATGTAGTTGGGAAACACCAGGAAGATGCTGATGTAGAGGGAATAAATCATGGCATAGATGTTGATTGGAACGCCCCAATGGCCAAGAGACCATCCGCCAGCTTCGAGACGGCCTTTCAGGCGCGCGTAAAGCATGCATGAGATGGCAAGGATATAGGATTGGTAGAGACCAAGAGTCGAGAGAGCGATGATGACACTGAAGGCGGTGTAACTGGCCAGGTTTAGCAGCGAGAGCAGTATGACGATAAAGATTGGTAGCCAGACAGAGCGCACAGGGACGCGGTGCCTGGAATCAATGACCGAGAAGTAGGCAGGGAGAGCACCATCGCGGGACCATGCCCAGGTGAGGCGGGAGGCAGAGGCGACTGAGCCAAGAGACACAGCAATGACGGTGATCAAGATAGCACCAACCATGGCCGAGCCACCGACCACAGATCCTGTAGCTCCGATGCAGATGGCAAGGAGTGGGTAGGAAGAATCCATAAAGGCAGCGACATCGCCGAGGCAGAAGAGGAGGATCAAGGTCATAGCGAACGCAAGAACACTGTTGATGCAGATGGACCAGAACATGGCGCGCGGAACGGCGTGACGGGCCCTGCGGACTTCTTCGGACATATGAACGGCGCAGTCAAAGCCTGTGGGTGGTTAGTGCATATTGGAAGATAGGAGATAAGACTTACCGACGAATCCCCAGGTAACGAGGATAACTCCGAGGTTGAACGAGATATAATCGTCATTCCACCCGGAGAGATTTGACTTGTTGAAGAACACAAAATTCGCCGAGTGTCGAGGAGCGAGCGTAATGAGGACCGAGGCGAAGACAATCCAGAGGATGATGTGCAATAGACCAGCGGCGAATTCGACCCAAGGGATAATCCAGAAGATGTGCGTGTTCAACAGGCCTTGAACGAGAAGCAGGGCAGCCATTGTCAAAACGACATGCCAGCCTTGAGTTATATAGGTGGGGTATTGTGCAGCGGCCAAGGTCAAAATGATGTTGGCGGCGATATTGACGACACCTGCCAGCAGAGAGATCCAAGAGAACCATGTAATCCAGCCTTGAATCCAGGTAATAAATCTGCGGTATCGCGGTGGTGCCAGGTAGTGTGTCCAGTGATATTGCGCACCCGCTATCGGTTGGACAGATGACATCTCTGCAAGTGAGGCGACTTGACAGAGCACTCCAGGGATGACAACGAAGAAACCCCAGACAAGGGCGCGCGGACCGCCATTCCAAAATATCAGTCCAATGTTTCTACCAGAATATTAACTCTCTTGCGAGATTGAGATGTGTGATCGTACGTTGACATAGCCTCCCATGAAGACATATAGCTGAGTGCGAAGAAGAAGATTTGGGCGAAGCTGAATAATCTCTGTTTCAGGTCTTCAGCCGAAAGTCATGTAGCGGTCCTTACAAGATACATACTCGCACTCTGGTCTGGGTATTCCTTGTGCCATCAGTCCTGGCACCGTTGTAGGTGCTAGAATATCCCTGCTTCTCGCCGATCGATGCTTGTGCCGTCTTGACCGACAGCATTTTGTGAGCATCCATGTTAGGTGTGTAATCTACAAAAGCCTCGAGTAAAGGTTGAAGGAGCAAAGGAGCGATGATAAGCATTGACAACTCTCGAGCTTTGACTGCCAAAGTCTACTTGCAAAACCGGTTGGCAACATGGGCAAATTAGGGCGTTCGGGGTGAGTCTCGATTCGACCGAACAATCGCGGAGAGATTAGTCCCAGGTACCTAAAGGTTAGCTGACCAGGGAACCAAGCAGGAGGCAGCCACTGGAAAGATACAAGTACTTTTCTACTACGGGTACAGGCCTGATTTTTGCCCCTCTCCACCCTCCCCCCCCGGTCAAAATATCTTACTTACGCCTCTTTTACATACGTATCCCTGCCAGCATCCCTATCACTATTTTGCACGAATTTTGTTTATTCTGCAAATTTTGCTTATTCTATCAATTCGACGTAAATTTAATAAGTTTAATAGATCTTTTACTTCTCTTTATTTCTCTTATTCTACTCAAGATTAACGTTTATAAATCTAAACTTTATAGCACTTAGATAGTTCATCCATCGCCTTACCACACAGTCATACAGTAGTTCATACGCAGCTATTTCGTGACTCTCCTGCTTCTATGCACCCCCATACCCTGTTCCACGGCCTTCCGTGTAACAGTTTTGATGTTTTTTGACCGACAAATTTGGTGGTCCAAGCGTCACCCATACGGAGGTTTGGAAGAACCCCACACCGACCTACACCCCGAATGTCAAGTCCAACACACGTCATGTGACCTCTAGACTTGACGTGCATAACAACTATCTATTTGCCAAGACTCAAAACGCCGAATGGACCTCTGTCGAATGGACCGCTCCCATCGTATTCCGATTCCTCTGAAGTATTGCTTGACAGTGATTCGCTGGAACGACGAAAAACACTTGACTATTTCTGGAAAAGCGCAAGCCCAGATGTCAAGCGTACAATAAGCGTTGTTGAAATTCACATTCTAATTCGTTCATTTTAATGTGTACGTACTCCATTGCGTACTGCACTCACCACGTACTGCACCACGTACTACACCACGTACTACACCACGTACTGTTTCTCCTGTAATCTCTCCTTAAATTCAGAGTATTTCAGAATACGCAGAATTGAACACCATAAGTGGACACCAGCTGTGTCTCCACTGGAGGCCAAGTTCTCGATTCCTATTCAACGCCAGCCACGATTCATACACAGTGGACTGGCTAAGTCTGAAATTGCCCACATCATCACATATTCACGACTGTTTCATGTTGAATCATTCGGTGTCGACGAGCTGGCTGCTTACCGAGTATCTCCCCTGGCGATTGTTGCCAATTGAGGCTGAGTCCATGATACTGCAGACTCGGGATGATCAGATACGAGATAAATCTTGTCGAGCTTAAGCTTGAAGTCCAGAATTATTCCTGCGTAAGAAAACTTTGAGACCTTTTGAATCATGCTTTGCGACGCAAATCCTTCGCACGCAATCGCCATCAGAGACCCAAACCCCCTCTCGGACGCGCCATTTGCAATGGGCTTCATTCGGCAAACATGGACTCTCACAGTAAAGAATCTTCTCATAGTCTTTGTGCGTCGTTGGTTTTCGACGATCCTGCGAGCATTGGTTTTACCAGTGGCTTTTGTAAGTATCACGTCGTCCACAAGCCAGATTGGCATTTTGTTTGGTTGGACTAGCAGTCTGTCGGGGCTTCATCCCTTTTTAGCCTTGACCCTGATGCCTAGGTGAGAGGTGGTTGCGCACACGCTGACTTGCTATGAAGATGTTCTTTATTTCCTACGTGCGCAACTTTTTCCTCCCGCCGTCAACCTATGGCTTCGGGTCCCCAAGGCCAATCAGGAATCTGACCACTGATGTCTTTGGTCCTTCGACAGCAGGCCGCAACAGAATTGCCTTCATCAACAATGGATACGTCGGAGGTCAGATAGAGAGTCTGATCAGCAGACTTTCCACCCCCCTGATTGAAGCAGGAGTTGATGTTCAAGTCCTATCTCAAGATGAGGAATTGACTAGGGTGTGCCGAAGTTCTCTTCGTGGGACCTCCAGCTGCTATGCAGCTGCAAGCTTCGAGTCTTCCCCAACTGAAGGTGACGGTGGGGTGTGGAATTATACAGTGCGGGCCGACTCGAGTCTGGGCTTCACAATCTTCGTTGACCGGGACGACAATGCACAACAGATACATTCCCTTCCTTTCCTTCATGCAATCGATGCCGGTATCGCCTCACTAAGCGGGATGGATTTCCCAGAAACCATGAATGAATATCCCTTCACATCGCAGACTCGGCAGGAACGAGATGATGACATTCAAGTCCTATACATGGGAGCTTTGATCGACTTCCTCGCAGTGACGTTCTTTGTCGGCATTTGCGGCATCACCTACCATCTTGCGGGACACATGGCTTCTGAACGTGAATTAGGAATGTCTCAACTCATCGATGCGATGACTGCGAATCGTCACCATTTGCAAACTCAGGCGACCAGGCTTTTTTCGACCCATTTGGCCTTCGACATCATATACCTGCCCGGTTGGATCGTAATGGGTCTGATCGTCTCTATCTATGTGTTTCCCCGCACCTCCTCTGCCATCATCATCCCATTTCATGTTCTCACAGGCATATCGCTCTCGGGGTATTCTATCCTTGGCGGCAGTTTGTTCCGTAAAGCTCAACTTTCGGGCATAACTATCACCATAACGTCAATTGTCTTTGCTGTTATTGCACAAGTGGCCGGGCCTAGTACTTCTGCCACTGCCGCCGTTCTCAGTTTCATCTTCCCACCAATGAATTATACACTGTTCATAATCTACATGGCGAGATGGGAACGACAGCTTCAACCAACCAACTTGACAGAGGGCGCACCTGAGAGTCCCTGGCAACTAACAGGTTCTATTTTCTTCGCCTGCCTGGCTGTTCAGATCGTAGTCTTTCCTGTATTGGGAGCGTTAGTTGAGAGGAGCTTGTATGGCACAGCGTCAAGAGCTCGCAAAATCACGTTCGATTCTCCGCACAAATTAGACGCTATCAAGCTGGTGGACTTTTCAAAACGTTACAAACCAAGCTGGTGGTACAGAAACGTTGTGTCTCTTTTTGGCGAGCAGCAGAGAACCGTGAACGCAGTAAACGGTTTGAGTCTTACAGCACTTAGAGGGCAGGTGGTGACCCTACTCGGTGCCAATGGGTCAGGCAAGAGTACAACGCTAGACGCTGTATCAGGTCTTAACACGGTTACCAGCGGCTCAATCCTTGTTGATGGCACGGGAGGTCTGGGTTTATGTCCACAGAAGAACGTGCTATGGGACGAGCTCACCGTTTATGAGCATGTGGCGATTTTCAACGGGCTGAAAGCCCCTACAAAGCCGGATTCCAAAGCACAGATTCGCCAGCTCGTTAAAGCTTGCGATCTTGAAAATAAGTTTGACAAAAAGTCGAAAACTCTCTCCGGTGGCCAAAGACGCAAATTGCAGCTCGCAATGACTTTCACGGGCGGAAGCCGTGTCTGCTGTGTGGATGAAGTTTCCTCGGGGCTAGACCCACTGTCACGTCGGAAGATTTGGGACATCTTGCTTGCCGAACGAGGCGTACGCACGTTCCTCTTCACAACCCACGCCCTGGATGAGGCTGACGTTCTGTCCGATCATATCGTAATCCTGTCCAAAGGCAACTTGAAAGCCCAGGGCTCTGCAGTTGAGCTGAAGCACAGGTACGGTGGTGGCTATCGAGTACACGTCCGTGACGTATCGAAAGTAGCCTCATCACCAGAGTTCGACCCCCTTCCCCGGAAAGTGCTTCCTGACGAAACAATATTTCGGCTCGCAGATTCTGCAGGTGCCGCACGATTTATCGATAAACTCGAAAAGCAGGGTGTTCAAGATTACCAAATGAACGGACCCACCATTGAGGATGCGTTCTTAGGACTGGCGGAGGAAGGAAAACAAGATTTATTAGAGCCAGAGGACCCGGTCTTGGGTGCGCAAGCACCGGCTGAGGTCTCCAAGGGCGGACCACCAATATCCACGTCCTCGTCCGATGCCCAGAATGAGAAGGCGCCGCTGTATTTATTGCGAGGAAAAGGTTCTAGTCTTGCATGGCAGACTTGGACCCTCTTTCGCAAGAGAGCTCGAATATTCAGTCGCAACTACTTCCCCTACTTCTGCGCTGTTGTGATTCCCATTGCTACAGCAGGTCTCGTGACCTTCTTTCTCACCGGGTTCGAAGGACTCACCTGTCGACTGGGGGAGTTGGCCAACAATCCTAGAGTCGCTACGCTTCCCCGACTGGAGTACTTTTGGGGCATCATGATTCCGGCAGGGTCCTCCGGTCGATTTACGCGAGAACTTCTCCCAGTCCAATACAGGCCATATGCAGACCGATTACGTCGCGTCGACACGTTCAATAAATTTCAGGTTTTTGTCCGCGATAATTTTCGCGATGTTGTTCCCGGAGGAGTTTATCTTGGAGACAATCTCGACGACACACCTCTACTTGCGTACAGAGCTAACGGAGGTCTCTACTTTTCTGCTTTAGCGAAGACCGTGTTCGATTCGTTTCTGATGAACACGACGATTGTCACACAGTTTTCTACCTTTGCCCTTCCAATCGCATCCAGTACGGGCGACACGCTACAGCTGACTCTTTACTTTGGGCTGGCGATGTCGGTCTATCCTGGCTTTTTCGCCCTGTACCCTACTGTCGAGCGCCTAAATAATGTCAGAGCCTTGCATTACAGCAACGGCGTCAGAGCTGGGCCGTTGTGGCTTGCATATATACTATTCGATGTCATGTTTGTCCTTGTGGTCAGCGCCGTGACCATTGCTATTTTCGTCGCAGTAAGTCGATTCAGATTTCTCCATCAAAAGCTGTCATGGATGGAATTATGGAAATTTCACAGCGGGAGATTCTCGCGTTGCTTTTGTTATCGAAGTGTGTCAGGAGCTAACAACATTTTTAGGTCTTTGATCTTTGGTATGCCCCGAGTTACATGTTCGTAACTTTCTTCCTCTATGGATTGTCATCGACATTGTTAGCCTATGTCGTATCTCTGTTTGCGAGATCGCAGCTAGCGGCTTTCGCCTTCACCGCAGGTGGCCAAGCTATCTTCTTGCTGATCCACTTTATCATGTGAGTGATACATTCCCTCCTCTGGGGTCGATTGCGAGAGCTTGCATCCTGCCGAGATACTGACCGGGAGAAGTTATCTAAGTCTGGTGACTTATAGCCTGCCTGAAAGGCTTCTTTCAGACCTCAACGTGGTCCAGTTCACGTATGGCTTGATAACCCCTTCAGGAAATCTGCTTCGAGTCTTGCTCCTATCTCTGAACCAATCTCAACTACTTTGTCGAGATCAATCGCTCGTTGGCTATCCCGGAGACATCACGGTCTATGGCGGACCGATCCTTTACCTAACACTTCAGTCGATGGCATTCTTTACTTTTCTGGTATGGTATGACAGTGGCTATAAGCCGGAACTCCTGACTCGAGCAAAAATTTATGTCAGTGACGAGGAAAGAGAAGCTGAGAGGCGAGACGAGGAGGTGTTCACTGAGGTCGAACGAACTGAGAACTCCTCCGATGGCCTCCGCGTGCTGCACTTGACTAAAGCCTTCGGTTCCAATACTGTCGTGGAAGACGTTACCTTCGGTGTGAAGCACGGGGAAGTATTCAGCCTTCTGGGTCCTAATGGTGCCGGTAAGTCGACAGCGATCAGCCTGATTCGTGGCGATATACGGCCGTCAAGCAACAAAGGAGACGTTTTAGTGGAGGGAATATCGATAAGCAGACACCGAGCTGCCGCACGGGGATATCTCGGGGTTTGCCCACAATTTGACGCAATGGACCACATGACGGTACTCGAACATCTTCGCTTCTACGCCAACGCTTGCGGTGTTCCTGACGTTGAACACAATGCCGCTCAAGTGATCGCTGCTGTTGGCCTGGAACCTTTCAAAAACCGCATGGCCGGCAAACTATCAGGAGGAAATAAGCGCAAGTTGAGTCTGGGTATCGCGATTATGGGCAATCCTTCGGTGCTCCTCCTGGACGAGCCCTCATCCGGCATGGATGCCATCGCGAAGCGCGTGATGTGGAAGATGTTGAACGCGGTGAAAAGCGGCCGCTCGCTCGTCATAACCACACATTCAATGGAAGAGGCAGACGCGCTTGCTGACCGCGCAGGCATTCTGGCCAAAAAGATGCTAGCCTTAGGCACCAGCGATTACTTGCGCAGGAGATATGGCGATGGATATCACATACATCTTGTCCATCGCCAGGGACCGCACGCGATGAGGGAGGAAATGGAGGCTTTGCGGCACTGGGTCCTCACCAAAATTCCGAGAGCAGTTGCAGATGACACCATGTTGCATGGACAATTCAAGTTCAGGTTGCCAAACACCTACCGCATACACGAGTCTCAGGAGAAACAGAGCTCCAATTCGATGGCCTGGCTCCTTGCTCTTCTGGAGGATCACAAAGACGAACTCAACATCGAGTACTATTCCGTTACTCAGACGACGCTGGAGCAGGTTTTTTTGAGCATCGTTGGAAAGCACAGGATTGAAGAAGAGGAGAATCTGCGGGCGACGCAAGGCGTCACGAAATTTGATAGAGTAGCAGCAGAGCTCAAAAACTTTGTCAGGCGTTGATAGCTTGCATTGGGTCTCGTTGAGGTGAGGTAGGGATGGACATCATAGATTAGATGGAATTAGAAACAGACACTTACTTCGGCAACACGGACTCTTCACGTTAACCGATAGGCAGACGATTTGCTGAAAGCGCAAAGACAATGAAGTGGTTCAATAATCTCATTCGTCGTCTGCTCGGCGTCTGCCACTCGTCTGAAGTCGTAGAAGTGGTAGTCGACATGATCACGCACAGGGCTGTCTACCGGTTCTTCTTCAATTCTTCTTCTTCTTTAATGGCAATTTTAGTCGCTAGGACGCCCATCTCTCTCTCCTCCGTCTTACCCATCTCCTCCCCCACCTCCCGGCTCCTAGGCCACTTAACCCCATACGTGCGCGCAACCTCCCTTAGATACACCTCAACCAACTTCTGCCCGGGAGGCTTAACCTGTAACTTATCTACCACGTGCTTCGGCACCAGCCCGGCAGCGCCAGCCTCTATATTCTCCTTGAGGGTAAACTCCTTGCCAAACCGCTTTATCAGCAACGCCCTTATGATGCCTAGCTCCCTTACCTCCCTCGGCAGCCGCGGCGCTGTGTAGATGATGGCTGCCGCCGCCTCCTTCAGGCCTGTATCCGGAACGCCGGATTTCGTCGCGATGCTGCCATCCTTCTGATTCTTGTCACGCGTGTTGAGGAGGCCCGCGCGCGAGCAGGAGCTCGGCGTACAGCTCAAGGATCTTTATCACTCAACGTAGATGTCGGTTTAGAGGATGTTCCTGACCCGGATGCGGGCCGAAGCGTCGCGGTGCTACGACAGGACCACAAACATCTCACGCCGCGACGAGATGGAGACGGCGGTGTCTCTTTTTTTGCGCTATGCGCAGGCGCAAAATCAGAATGCGGAGGGTCGTTTTAAGTTTAAGCTGTTATCATGTAAAGTGAGTTAGTGGTGACTAATGATTTAAAAGGGGAGGAAGGGAGATGGGGTGGAGATTGAGGATAGGGCGGGTATTATAAATAAGAGGGGTTCCTGACTTAGGCTGAGGGAGCAGGACTTACTGTTTTGTGAGGATGTGGAAGGCATGGTTGCGAGGGTATGGTGTTTTTCAGCTTATAGGCGATTTTTGGATAAGTGGAGAGATGAGGCAGGATCTCAAGGTTTCGACCAAGGGATGGGAGGGAGGATGTTCCAGTGTCCTCAAACGGAGGACAGAGTGCGGTGGGATCAGCGCATAGAAATGGCTGCGGTATATCTTCAGGCAGCGAGGCGTTCCTAGTGTTGGTTTTACTGAGGCTCAGACGATTGCATTGCTTCTACGGCTCCACTCTAAGTACCATAGTTTCCGTGACACAGAATGCTGTTTTCCGGCAACACCTGTTAGGGACCTCGTGGTCATATGATTTGCTACCCACTTGCACCTTTTTGTGAAACTTAATGCGAAGCTGTCCTTTGATAGCCAACTATGGGAAACGAGCAAACCTATCGTATCATACCAATGAAGATCGCGTAGAGCCCGTCCCATAATTGGCCCGTACCGTACTGTCATTGCCTCACAATTCGCCCATCATCGATATCGTTATGCACTGCGTAGAAAAAGTAGCACGAGGGCCTACAATGCTGTTTTTGTGCCTTTCCTTTTCGCAACAGTAGCTGAACTTGTTGCCAGCGAAGCCGTGGCAACAATAACAGCAGAATATTAGATCAAGTACTGTTCAGACAGAACCCGCGTTGCATTTTAAAAGTAGCCCGAACAGAGACCCACTGCGAAGACTAATGCCATGTACCGTAGTGAGTAGAAATGAGACTTCTTAATGATAGATGAAAAATTTTAAAGAATTAGAAAATACATAAGATATCTTTAACTATGTACATAAACCCTCTTTCAAAATCTACAATTCCATCATTTGACCTTCCAAACACCATCGCTTTCATACCACTCATTCGCCTTCATACATAATAGCCGTCATATTGATTAAAAGTACCCACACCATATATACCAAGACCTATCCGCGTATCGTTTGCATTCGTTAAACATGACTCATGCCCTCCCTCCCAGAAGCCCCTTTTCTTCAAGGCTGCCAGCCGTAATAGAAACCATTTTAGAAATGAGAGAACGATGAGGTGGATGCTAGCCCTGTAAGAAAAACGCGAGCAAAAGTAGCTAGCATACTTTCTAGGGTGGATCATCGTCGTACCAGTCGTTGATGGCGCCTAGCAGCATCTTCCAGACATTGCCATCACGGTAGGTGTGATCCACGATATCCCTTGATTTCGCAAGAAACAGCTTGTCAGCCAGATGGATTGTCGAAGCAGATATAGGGTCGACTTACATGCCCCTGGCTTTAAGACCAAGCCCGCTGTCTAACTCATCAAGCTTAGCTATGCTTGCTTCATCATCTCCGAACCGGATGAATTGGATGGCAAGCTGCTCCTTGGGACACTTCTTGGCAATCATCTCTTCGACTTGGTCTTTGATGAGACTGCCAACGTCAGTTGGTTGCCATTTGGCATCCGTCAAGATGTAGAAGCTCAATGGCCTTTGCGGTTGCGGGCCAGGTTGATAACCGAAAAAGTTCTTCCGCGGCGAGAATTGCTTTTCAAATTTATTTGGATGTTCTTGCAATATTTGGTGGAGCCTCAATCGCATGTCTGATATCCCCTTGAAGGGCGCTTGGAATATCCCGCTGGATATCCGCGAAGACTTCTTGGTGTTGATCTTCGGCCAGCTGTGGGCAAAATAGATGTCGAGACCGTCTTCGTCCGAATTCTTCAGCATGTATGCCAACAGCGAGATGACACGGTCAACGTCTCTACGATGCGGCCCCATAGTCTCCGAGTTGTCAACCAAAAAGATCTGGCACCATTAGTTAGCCGGCTTCAGTCTGGGAGGGACATATGTCTCACATGATTTCTTCGATCTAGAGAGGTCAGATTTTCACTTCCAGGCAAAACAGGGTTTTCACCATTCTTTTTTCTATTCTTCCATGCAAGGCCTTCACTGACGGATAGGGTTGGCCGCTCTGGCTCCTTCTGATGCTTCTGTCCTTGCTGCACGGAATTATCATGAGCATTTGCAGCTTTTGATGAACTAAATCGCGAGTCAAGTACAGCGTGTGAGCCTTCTCCAACAGACTGAGGGTGTTCAGTGGCATCATTGCGATATTTTTTGCTGCTTTGCTCGTTTGACCCTGAGTGATGTCCTTGGGACGCCACAGATCTTGAAGACTGAGATGACACCGAAACATCATCATCAGGCGGGAGAGGCTGGCTTGGTGTTAATCTTGTTCCTGGTCTTGTACCTGGATATGATTTTGAACGTGACTTGACATGTATGGGGTGTACTTGAGTAGCATTTCGAGTCCTGTGCTCGGCTTCGTAAATCTCAACGGAGTCATCTTCAATACTCCGTAATGGCTTAGGCTCTGGGACTTCAAACTTGTCTCGAATTCGTTTAATATGGCCCTTTGTCTGCTCGAACACAAGTTTGGCTTGGGGCCGCGCTTCTTCTGCTAGCATCATATCGACAATGTGATCCAGTATTTGCCGGGTTACTTTGTGAATGGGATCATTTTTGCTCATCATATTGAGATGTATGTTCCGAACACTCTCAAGCAGACTGCCGTTATGGTGAAAAATGTATTCACCACTGCCACCCCCTTTGCGTTCTACCTCTTCGCTCCGCTGACGTCTGTACTCAACCACTCTTCTCCAGCCATCATGAAGCCAGACTGAAACTTCGCTGAAAATGCAGCCTAGGGACCATATGTCAACAGACTGTGTAACTTGTAAAGACAAAGATTCAATGTCCTTGTGGGATCTAAATGTCTCTGGTGCACCTAGGCACTTGTCAGCCAATTTTTAGATGGAGTTGATGAAGGTACCGGGTACCATATGCGCGAGTGCCGAAGGCGTCTAAATCTGAGGGTTCATTTGATGAGGAGTCACTGGGTTTGAAATGAGCGAGATCCAGATCTGCGATCTTGAATTCACACTCATACGGGGAAGTTCCGTTTCTGCCGAAGACGAGAATGTTGGTTGGTTTAACGTCTTGATGCCAGCTGATGGCCACAGTATTAGCGGCGATGTATACCGGATTGATTTCATTACCCACCCATTAAGCCTTTGAGATGGTGAGCTGTCATTCCTGCTCGTCTGATGAATACACATAATACCTTGTGTAATATCGGAAAGCCTGTCCCAAAAGAGTAAAATATCTTCAATGGTTGACGGGGGCTTTGTCTTTCTCATGAAGCTCTCCAGTGTTCCGCCATCTGCATACTCCAAGATGAGGTTGTACGAGTTTCCATGAACGAAGCCACCATAGCATGCAATGATGTGAGGAGAAGGTTTCCCATTCCATCTCAACTTCATATGCGCGTTACGCTCAGCCTTGTAGTTATTTTCAGCTTCTGCCTCTCGATAAGTCTTCAGGACGAACGTATTCTTGCATCGCTGGCGCCAATCCTGCTCCATTTCAGTTAGCGAGGTCAACACGTATACTGGAGCATCTGAAAATACCGGTATGGCATGACCAGGCGGTCTTAGCGAGTGGTAATTTTGGTCAACTACAATTTTGTAGATTATGGCGCTCCCCCCCTCCCCAATCTTCTCCTTGTGTATTATAGGGACGATAACTTCCGGTTTGAAGCGACCATCCATGCCGTATTCGAGTTTCAAAGCGCAAAATTGCCATTGAGTGTCCTGAAATTCTTTGAATTTGTCCGGCGATGTGGTGGGAAATTCATCTGGTCGGGTGCGGAAAGGCAGCTTCTCATCCCGTAAGGATTCGTATTGGTAGAAGTGAGAAATCATGCTTCCTGCTCCAATACACAAAAGTGTCGCGAAACATCTTGAATAATGAAGTCGTACAAGATTTGGAGCTATTTCAGGTCTCTTGGAGGCGTCAAGCACAACGTCGAGTAGCTTCTCAAGCCGAGGTCCGTTGAAGTATTCCTCTAAATGCGATCGGGGAATGAATGATTTTCTCGTCTCGAAGGTAGGACCTCCAAAGCCTGACAAATGCGCATCTGAAGATCGCCTCCATTGGTGGAATGTTTGGATGGTCTCGTCGGTCTGGGCATACGATTTGATCATGGCACAGGCGCAAATCGGATTATCGCTGGCAGAGACAAGGAGCGATATTGATGCGATGATGGGTGTTGGAGGGTAAATTAGACATGACAACAAAGGTTGACAAAGAGATGATATTTGCAAGAACGAATCCAAAGAATGCGAAGCAGCGCGAGGCTGTGGTTTGGGTCAAGTCAGAGTATCCGCAGCAAAGCTGCCTAGGATCAGGAAAGGCCTGTTATTGGGCAGATTTTATCCCGCACATTTTGAAAGGACGTTGGCAAGGCTGGCGCCTCCGGTTTGACTAACTACGACTTGTGTGCGGCCTGGTCGAGATAAAGGTTGATATGAGGCTCTGCTAGTCAAAACATTATCTTCATCGAATGCAACTTGGTTTGCCCCGTTTCGCTCGACGCACATCGTGGGATGAACCCTTAATCTTACCATTCGCGAGCGAAGCGCCTGCACAATGCATCTTTGCTCAGATCAGGCACCGTTGTGGTCTCAGATCATGGATGGTCATGTCTATTATTCCACCGAAATGCTGAAATTCATTCGTCTCGGCTAATTAATAGCCCCCTGGCAACCCTCTCGTAGATAGCTTCTAGTCTCCACGTTCTGCCGTTCAACTCCAGATTGAGGAA